ATAAATAAATAAAAAGCCAACAGAAATACCTACAGGATATGTTTTTTAAAAGCATGGAAGGCTGTGTCACCCTTTGTCAGTGTTGATACCTATCTAAGCCTTGCATCTTCTGGATGGCAAGAAAAATGCCAGTATCATTAGTGCACAGCTGGGTACATACAAAGAAACAAATGCTCCATCTGAATAAGCCCAATATCAACAAAGCAAGCATACATATCTACGCTGACATCATCTCCCCAGCTACATAATGTATATGGTGAATAGTGTGTCCCTGTTTTGAAACCATTCTTTGAGTCTTAACTCTGTGTTTCCTGATCCTTTTTTTGAGCTTCTTATAAATTTTACCAACTGTTATTTTAAAGAAAATCTTCAGTGAATGGCTTGGTCATTGTTCTGTTACAAGCTTTGGCATTTCCATTTTTTGAAAGACATTATTAAATACTAGGAACCATTAAACACTGCAGTATCTTAGAGCCTTTTTAATAAAAGTATTCAAATCTTTGGCACAGATCTACTCACTTGCTGCCAAGCCCCACCTACAGGTAGCTCATTTGAAGGCAATCTGCAGTGGCTCCCAAGCAACAAAAATATAGAGTCTGGCTCTCAGAGGAAATGGAGCAATTTCCACAGCAGGTTTTGAATGCTTTCTTGACAATTTGCATATTACATCATGCTTGACCATTTGCTCAAGTAGCACTAGATTTCCTTATGGGATTATTAAGGACCTCCAGTAAAGGGATTATTAATCACGCAGAGATGGAGAAAGCATGGCTGAGAATTTTAGTAGTAGTCCAAAAGTCAGACAGACGGATGGATGGCTAGACAGACAGATAAGACTTTTCCCAACTCTGCAACATTTCCAGTGTGTGCTCATATTGTCACTGTGTCCTTGGTGTTGAGGAAGTTTGGATTTAGCATAACTAGGCTGTTCCCTGAGGTATTCCTTTCCCAGCAGATCTTTGTGATCAGCTGGCAGAAGGGGGTTCTGTCAGCCTAAAGGGATTTTGCTGGCATAACAGGTTTCTGCCCATCTCTCACCCTCCACAGCCAACACATATCTGAGTCAGGATTGCCCTCTTAACTATTTAGGTTTTGCCCCATCCTGATCTCTCTGCTCCTTACATCCAGATATGAATTTCTATTCCTGACCTGCACTCTTCCATCTCTCCTCTATCCAAAGTCCTCTTGTTCCCTCAGAAGACTACATTCTTACTTGTTTGCTGCCCTGCAAGTGCAGAACTATCTCCAAGAACACCTCCATGATATCACCCCTCTCTTCCCTTTCAACCGCATCCTCAAAACCTGCTTTCTCTGTGATGCTCTTGGCTCACACTCATTTGCTCTCTGTCCTACTGTGGGGCTGGGAATATATAGCACCCCAGACATTGTTGAAGTGCAGCTTCCATCAGCCCTGGCAGCACAACCAATGACAATGAATGATGGGAGTTATAGCCCAACAGCATCTGGTAGACTAAATGTTCCCTATTCTAGTTCTACTACAGTCAGTTCTTGACTGAAGGCTGAGTACATGCAACTAAAAACAGATTCTTATTACTCCCCTTTTCACTCTAACATGCTCAGGTGTGTTTCTACAGACGACCATAATTTTCCTGCATCAAACAAGAAGATTTAGGTATTAGATTTACAATTGTTTAACAATTAGATTCCAAAATCTTTCTAACAGAAAATACCTCATGTAATTCTTTCTGTTGATTTTCCTGCTGTCGTTCCAAGACCAGTATCTGAGCTTTCTTTATTTCCAGGTCCTTGATACATTGTGCATAAGCTGATTGAAGCCTTTAAAAACAAACATTAAAGTATTACAATCTCAGGCTCTTCTACTAAAAATCAATAATATTCCAAATAAGCCCAGTTGGACAGAAAATACCAGTACAGAGAGCATCTCCTAGACAGATTGAGAATGTAAGGAGAATGTCCTAGAATGTGGCAAGACAACAAGAAATAATCCCATCTGATCACACCAGAAAGGGTCACTTTGCAGGGAGTGATCTTCCTAAGAACAACACTTCTATTGGTCAGGGAATCTATCCAACCTGGCTCCAAAAGGTAGTAGTCCTATTGCTGGAACAAAAAGGTCCAGCTTAGGCACAGATCAGGGGTTTGCTGATTCACAGTTTCACAGATGTCATGTGATTGCCAGGAAATAACTCAGACTGGGCCATATCACAAATGGTCCAAAATGTGAGTTATTTCTCTGTATGACTGTACCCCCAGTTACTATGTCTTTCATGAGTTGTTCTTCTAACCGCTAGCTTCATAGGTAGGTAGGTAGGTAGGTAGGTAGGTAGGTAGGTAGGTAGGTAGGTAGGTAGGTAGGTAGGTAGGTAGGTAGGTAGGTAGGTAGGTAGGTTTACTATTTAGATGCCGCTTTTCTCCCCATAGGGGACCCAAGCAGCTCACTACAATTAGATTAAGGCAGATACATTACTCCTATACTAGTTAATGAACTTCAAATTTTAATTTGCTGCCTAAATGAGAAGCAGAAGAGAAAAATCACATAAGCATATACTCGGCTCTGTCAGACTCCCTGCTGTGTGACTGATCTTGAAACCAGTATGAGAACAGGCACACAATGATGAAAAGCCTGGTGGAGCACGGGAGATGCATGTATGATTTCGCTTCTACTAGGCAACAGGATACAAGCCATAACCTTATTTCTCAAATACTGATACACCGTGGGATGTTTTCAAATTACATCTGATGTTTTATGGTGGCATAAAAGAAAAGAAAATCTGGCTTAGCAATGCTAAAATACAGTACTTACTAAGTCTATGATATAAAACCTAGTGGTTTAATGTTATCTTTTAATTGGATGGAACACCATCAATTATATTTGTAAGTCACTGTTGGTTTTGGCAGCAGTTTTGAAATTATGTGGGCATAGGCTAGTAAGGCATGAGCAATAAAATCATTTTAATAATGAAAGTTTCTTGCAAAATATTCCCTTCAGTCAGTAGGCCCATGCAGAAACACAGGATATAGCTCTCCTGATAATGTGTAAAATAAATAAAAAAGAAACCATTTTGGGTGCAATAATGAAATGGGATCAGGATTTCAATTCAGAAAGCAAATGAGCTTCAAGTATCCATAGATTTGGAAAAATTGTAGGAAAATAAGCATTAAATTAAAAAAAACAAATTATTGGAGGTGATAGCTGCAGGGAGATAAACATGTGATTGCTCAAATGGTCCCTTCTCTTACCAGGAAAATGCACAGATATCACACACACACAAAACTATGTAAGTTCCCCCCCCCAAATATGGGCACTTTACAATTTGATTATGCAGGCTACACATTAACCCCCCCCCAAAGCAAACTGGGTACTCAGTTGACCTTGGAAGAATGGAAGGCTGAGTGAATTTGAGCCGGCTACCTGTGATTGAACCCGGGTCGTGAGCAGAGTTTTGGCTGCTGTACTGCAGTTTAACCTACTGCACCACAAGGGTATTTGCAAAGGACAAATGTCCCCTCAATTGACTGTGTCCATAGTTGTATAAATGAAGCAAAAATAGGTAAGCATATAACACTGTTAATGTGAAGCTGGCTCATACTTTCACAGGGCACTAGTCCATCCAACTTATTAGTGCTTACTCTGGCACAGACTGATTTGCTAGTTCTGCAAGGGTTTTTTCCCAGATCGTACCTGGAGATTGCAGAAACGTAAGCTGGAGCCTTCTGAATGATAAATGTATGCATTCCAAATTAATTATAGCCCTTTTGCATACAATTTAAAGTATGTAAACTAAGTTGGAATTCCCTTCCAGAATATCGACGTATCATATTTTTCTGTTTATAAGACGACCCGATGTATAAGACGACCCCCATTTTCTAACCCCCAGATCAGAAAATTTGAAAATTTGCACCATTGCACCCCTTTGATCCTGAAGCCCTTTCACAGCTGCTTTACTCTGTGGCTTTGCAAAAGGCAGAGAAAGCGGGCTGCCTTCCGTGTATAAAATGACCCTTGATTTTTTGTCTAATTATTTAAGTAAAAAGTGTCATTTTATACACAGAAAAATATGGTATATGCCAAAAGATGCAAGCCAGATGAGGGGAAATCCCACTGAAGTGAATATGGATAGCTTGTGTTTGTTTCAATGTCTTCTACACCTCCAGTTTCTCTGTGGCACACTTTGAATATCTGCCTTATGCAGAAGAAAATTAATTAAGGCTAGGTGCTCTTACTTAGGCATAAGTTTCATTGTACCTTCTTAGAGGGACTTACTTGCATACTGACATTCCTAAAACTGTGACTCAACCCAAATCACTCACTCCCACTTGGTAGACCAATGTTTACAATACCTACTTCACTTGGTTTTCTTCCATATTTCTATATTCTTCCATTTTGGCTACTTCTTTACGCAATTGTTGGCATTCCAGTTCTACCATATTCAAGAGATCCTCACGTGACTGTAGTTCATTCTTCACTTCTGTAAGCCTTGCTTCAATATTCTAAGCAAATCCAAAATAGATTAACCAGATGACCCACACCTCTGTAGTATTAAGAATTCCTTAGCATACATATAAGAATGTTTATCTATATCTATATATTTATCTATCTAACTATTCTGCAGAAAAATCAGTTGGAAATTTAATTAAGTAGGCATTAGAGAGTACATCTTATTGGATAAACTGGGAACCTTCATAACGGATTGGGCTTTTAGGTTTTTAATGCTATACTGTTCTGTGTCATTATGATTACAGAAACATTGGGTAAGCTGGATATTATTAATCACCTATCACCATAAATCATATTAATACTCAAGAGATATGGCTGAGCCAATCTTGTGTGTCTTAGAAATCAGACTTGGAAATGTAGAAGGTGCTTATTTCCTAAAGACCAACCAGAAAACATAGCAAGCTAAGTGGCAAAAGGCAGAAAGTGTGAAAACGCTCTGGCTTTTTTAATTTCTTCTATTAACAGGTGAAGAAATGGCTTAGTCCGCTGTTTTCAAGAAGAGCCTGCTATTCACAGATACAGGCCATAACCCAAGAAGAGGTAAGTTTTGGCAGTCAATATTCAACTTCCCAGAAAGTCTATGTCTTGCTCATCCCATTCAAAATCCAACTCACAGTTCTATATTATGAATTTTTTTTTGTTTAACATCAGTTAGACCTTCTTCCAAAATAAACCTTGTCCTTTTTTATTAAGATGTTGAAGATTCTCTGCTAGGCTTCTCTCACATAAGAACATGAAACAAGCCATGCTCCGTTAGACCAAAGCCACACCTAGTCCAAGAACCTAAACCCACACTGGATAACCACGTGCCTACAGGACGTTTGGGAGCAGGGTGTGAATCAGTACATTAGCTCCAACTCCAGATTTTTTTCTGACAAGAAGGGATGTCTGTGATGCTGATATGCTATTCTACCAAGAGAAATATGTTCATTGTATTACACTATTATGATAACTGACAACAGCAGCATCAACAGTGTAATCCATGCTGTGTGACAGTCTAAATTACATCAGCACCATCTCTCAACAGATAGATGAAAGTTGTCTATTTCTATATTAGAAGTTCAGAATAGGTAAAGTGTGAGCGTTATTGCTCCAATTTTTTTAATACACATCAAACTAAAATGTCAAGCTTCTAAAAGCTTCTGAAACAAGTGACGGTGACTCATAAGTAAAGCAGGTGTTCTGTGCTTCCCATCCCCACCTCTTCTGGCAGGTATCGACTTAAAGGCAATGCCATTAGAGGCTTCACGGCCCGTCTCCTCTGGGCACCTCCTCTGAGTGGGCACCTGCCAAGCGAGGACAGGGCTGGGAAGTGCTTGTTTAAAGGACAAACCAGCATGAACTGCCAAATTGGTCCGTGCCCATCTCTAATTATAAGTCCAGAAATGATCCACTGCAAATGAGTGTCTTGAAACATGGGTTTCTTGGAAATCTTTTTTGAAACTGCAGAAACTGGAACTTCTTTCTTGAAACTTGTGTCTAGCAGATAGACTAAATTCTGTTCTGGCAGATCTCAGCAAGTGGGACATGCCTCCTACTGGTGTGTGAGGAGTGGGGGTGGAGGATAGCAATATTTCAGGAGTACTGTGTGCACCTTGAGAACATTTTTAGTAGCATTTTTAAAATCTGGAAAGGAGGGAAATTATATTGACTGTATGGTATCATCCTATTGACACATAGTCATGCATGTGTTGCGTTTCTTTCATCATTGTTTCTCGCTGCAGAGTTCATTTCGTGGGGATGGATATTGCTGCTGTACATCCCCCTTAGATTTCTGTACCAACCCCACTACTCACCCTATGCCAAAAAATAACTTTCAATTCCAACTACGTTTCCCCTTCCCTCCTCCTATTGAAATCATGACAATTCAAACATTAACAAAAAGCGTAGGGGGAAAGCATGAGATTTTTATTTCATCTAAATGGGACCGGAGTTGAGAAACATTGGACTCACTGAAGTTCTTTGGTGGGGGAAACAATTAACTTCATAAATAGATAATAAATTCTTCATCAAAATTAACAAACAATTAATTGACCTGTGACCTGTATAGCTCAATAGAGCCGCTACTGTGGCAGACCAAGCTACACTCCAGAACATTCACACAAGCAGGACTTGAGAAGCTCCATTCCATGTGCGGTGGTCAGATAAAAAGACAACAGAGCCTTTAAAGAGCAGTGCAGAAAAAGGAGGCCACAGTTGCTGAAAATCACTTCTTTTCACATGTTACAAGTGCAATGACTGCAATTACCTCTCCCTCTACTGGTTATTTTATAGTATCCATGCAAAGATAGCTAGCAGGCAGCCAGCCAACAGATAGATAGAAACATTTTACATAATTGCAGAAAATAGAGAGGAGATAAATAGTATACATTAGGAACAGCGAAAGAATAATTTTTTCCCCTCCACCCTAATTATGCTTGAACCAGAGGCACTCCTTATGATAGGCCAGTTCTTTCTGCATGGAAGGATACATTTAAAAAGCCTTTTGTGTTGCATTAAAGTCCATACCACTCAGTGAAGAACAGCTAAAGGATTTAGCAGATTAGCTACCTGCTTATAATCTGCACACAGGTGATTGCTGCAAAAACTGGTTATATTTCACATTCAACATGTGTTACTTTCCCCAAGCCTTTGACATTCCACAGGTGCAGCTGCTTTGCTGGCGTTTTTCAGTGTAAGCAGCAAGGGTATTGCACAGGAATTGCTTATGAAGGGGCAAATAAGAAATATTAAGCTCTTCATCCCACTGTGCCTCCTTGATAGGACTTTATGGTCCATAGAATCCCTTCCAGCTCTGTAGTTCCAAGATATTATTTTCCACCTCCCTTGGACATTGCTGGCAACACTGAGCTGCAACTCAAGAAGTTACACCCCCCACCCCCCATGGCAATGATGATCATTAATTCCTGATGATTTCTAAATCCCATCAGATGTTTCAAAAACACACTGGCCAGCCAATTGTACCGATCATTCACATGAAATATTCCAAAGCCATTTCTTCTACTGGATAGTTTCTATCTCTTTACCTGGCACTTTCTTTGGTACATTTTTACTTCCTGCTGGAGTTTTAGGTTTTCCTCTTGGAGCCTGTTCCTGCTCACAACTATTTCACTCACAGTTGATTTAAGTTTTTCCATAAAGAATTCATTCCTGTCAGAGGGCTGAGGGAACATGTCATGCTGAACGCTGAGGTGCTCTGTTTTGCACTGGCTGCAAGTACCCACATCCTCTTGTTTTAACTTCTGACAGCGTATTTGGCTCTGGCAATTCTGTGCTTGTTTCTAGAATAGAAGGAAAGAGGTTGTGTGAGCTACTTGTCTTTGGGTGCAACCACACTTCTACACTTACAAGCTTCTGTGCAGAAATTATGACACTCCAAATGATTTGTTTGGCTTTATTCAAAGCCATTTTCTCTTGGTAGGCTTAAGAAAGATAACCAAACATGTGATAAGATATATCTGCTATCGACGACATGTCCTTCGTTGCCTACTCTGAGACTCCACAGTCCTATCAGAGGTCCCCTGGTCCCCTAGTACCTGACCGCATGAATGAAACGTGATGGGGCCAAATGTCAGCATTGACTTGACCCGACAACAGGGCTGGGAAGCCTCTTTCAGTCCAAGGACTGGATTCCATTTCAGAAAAGATTTTGGGATCTGCGTTCCAGGGGTGGTTGGAGCAAAGGCAAAAGATGAGGTCAAAAATACCACCAACATTTGATTTAAAACTCTTTCTGACAGTAGTTAAGCCTTTTCAAGCCTTTCAAAATGGGCAGGGGGAGACGGGGGGGATACACCACATAACAATGGCTTCATGGAGAAGGGCACATGGCCATGTTGGGAACCCAAAGAAGTGGGACCTGAGGAGAACACAATTTGGCTTAAGGAGACAAGGTTCCCATCCCTGTGTGATAGAATGAAGGTGGTATAGAGATTTAAAACACAGTATGGTGATTTCCTTCCCCAGTTGCTTCTTTCTATTCAGTCCTTTCCCACTGTGACCAGAATGTAAGCCCCACAAGGAGAAAACTGGAATAAAGGTTTTGGCGGACGGAAAGTGGCCATTCCCCTATTTTGTTATTTGGAAGGGGTTTTTTTCGGTGGCTAAGGACAGGATTGGGGAAGCCCCTGAGGTTTTGAAGTGAGGCATCCCAAGTTCAATGCAACCTGTATTGGATCACACCATTGTAGCCACAGTCTACAAACACATTCACATCTGCTACTGCCACCTGTTTTTGGGAAAGCCAACATGCACCTTTCAATATCAAAATCATTCCAAAACAAATCTCTCTCTCTCTCTCTCACACACACACACACACGCACACACACACAAAACCCCATGGGCATATAGTAGAGCTATATACAAATAAACTCTGGGTCACATGTTAACCTCGTTTTGTTGGATTTCTCTCTCTCACACACACACACACACACACACATACAAACCCCATGGGCACATAGTAGAGCTATACACAAATAAACTCTGGGTCACATGTTAGCCTCGTTTTGTTGGATTACACCCAACTGATTTCCCCAAGATTTACTTTTATACACCTTCAGGGACAAAAATTCATTACTGACTAATTGATTAACCAAGCCAAGCACTAAAATTATGTTACTATGGTTATTATATTTCTTGGAAACACACTATGTCTATCTTGTCTACTTCAAAGGAAGAGTCCATTACGTTACACAAAATATGAACATGTGAGTCACCTGCTCAACCTTCTATTAGTTTGTTCTTCTGATTTTATTATTACAGAATTAAAAAATACTGACTGGAGAGCTTTTGAGTGTGCATCCATGCATGAGCACACACACACATGGTAGTTGTGAAGGACTAATGCAGCCCAATTATTATAAGCATTTAAAGACATTTTGTAGTGATCAAAGAGCATGTTGGTGTGAGCTCTTTTCACCTTATTCTCTTATCCTTGGAAGCTTACAGAAGGTTACTTTCTGACTACAGGAGAATCATGAATAACTTTGTTGGATTCAGGGATCAATGTTATGCCCAGAAATCCTTCAGGGATTTCATAGGCCACACAAAATGCCATAAAAGACAAAATTGCTATCCCCTTGTGGTGGGAAAAATGGAGGATGGCAGTTGCCTGTGATCTATGGAAAAGATGAATCACCACTCTTGGAGACTCCAAGAGCAGCAATTCACCCTTTTTTGTAGGAGCAAAAGGGGATCAAGGGAGGGATCATCCCGGAGGACTGTGTGCACCCCAAAGGGCCACAGTATGCTCTGGTGTAGATGGAGCTGTAGAAGGAAGGCCTTCCCTCAAAAATTTCCTCTGTTTTCATATATTATCTGTGTGCACCCCAAAGGGCCACAGTATGCCCTGGTGTAGATGGAGCTGTAGAGTTATAGCAGAATTATTCACCTTGGAGGATGCAGATAGGAAGAAGGCAAAGCCAAAACAATGTCTGAAATCTTGTTGCATAGCAGTACATGTACAACAGTGACAACATCATCACTGGTGGCAATCCCTGTTGATTAAAGGCACACATTTTGGCTTTCTTTCTGTAAAATAAATCATTAAATGGTTTAATATGCCATGTGTTGTTGTTCACTGGAGGTTGTATTTACCTAATTTTCAGACCTGGTAAAGACCAAATGATTGTTGTTCAGTACAGTAAATACACTGGAATGGGCCCATTGAATCATTGGGGATTGAGTGGGGTAATTCCTCCATGGGTTACATTGATTCAAATGAGCCTACTCTAACTGCAACTCACTTTAGCATAGTGAGTTGCAGTTAGAGTGAACTGTTTGGGTCAGTGGAATTTATGTAGGAATTGACTCGCTGAATCTTCACTGATTCAGTGGTCCTACTGTAGTGTGATTTAGTACACTAAGCAACAGGATTTTAGCCATGGTTATTCAGACAGTTCAGTGCATATATTATCTTTAACATAATGTTATTGTTTCGGTGAATTATAATATGTCATGCTTCTAACTTACAGTAGTTAACCCTTATGGCTGTTTGGTGCTCTTTGTGATTTACATAGATGACACTGACAGAAACTGGCTCAATCTTTTGTTTTGATGCCAAATGGTATTAAATAATGTTTTTAATATCTACAGGTTTATCTCCTCTGATTCTGCCCCATTACTACATAGGGAGCTGTAGAGTTATAGCAGAATTATTCACCTTGGAGGATGCAGATAGGAAGAAGGCAAAGCCAAAACAATGTCTGAAATCTTGTTGCATAGCAGTACATGTACAACAGTGACAACATCATCACTGATGGCAATCCCTGTTGATTAAAGCCACATATTTTGGCTTTCTTTCTGTAAAATAAATCATTAAATGGTTTAATATGCCATGTGTTCACTGGAGGTTGTATTTACCTAATTTTCAGACCTGGTAAAGACCAGATGATTTTTATTATGTCCTCATATATAAAACCATAGAACTCAAAGAGGGTGTATGTTCTTTTCCACACAACTGTAGGTATTCTCCATATTTTATGTCCTCTCCATTTCCCCCCACTTTTACCTCTCTTACTATCTATCTATCTATCTATCTATCTATCTATCTATCTATCTATCTATCTATCTATCTATCTATCTATCTATCTATCTATCTATCTATCTATCTATCTATCTATCTATCTATCT